AGAAATTATCATTTTCCCTTGGACAACAGTACCAAGTTTTTGGCTACAGAATCATGGGATGCATTTAAAGCCCTACAAGGGTTTTATATCCATAACATACTGTTCCCGCTTAAGTTGTATTATGAGACATATAAGCTTATGAGAGAGAGAGAGAGAGGAGGCCCCATATTTCACCTAAGAGAAAGAGAGAATGGACAAGAGGTTGAATAAGTCTATTCATTCATCTTATCTTGGCGTGAAAGTGTAGCATTATCTAACATAGAAATGGTATGAGATGATTTTAAATATGTTTTCTATGTTTTTGTCTTTTATCTTTATTAGGTGAGAATGGGACAAGCCCATTAGCCCATGTACAGTTACTTATCATCAATTTAAACTATAGCTCTTTTATTTATAATGCCCCCTCCCATTTTCAAATTGAAATTTAACTGGAGGGCCTAGCTGTTTGTTTTTGGCCCATTCCAAATTGTGCAATAAATGGATAATGGAAGGTCTAGATTTTTTTTGTAGTTTGAGTAAGTTTTCTATTTTATATTAATTAGGAGAATGTCTGATTTATCAAAATCTGAGATGTGTATGATAATATGAATAACAGAAACCAATTGGGTATGGGTAGAGAGATCCCTAGTCATCAAAGTTCGAAAACTGAATTAGCACGTTTCCTTGCAAATTATTTAAAATATATAAGAGCAGCATTTAATCAAACAGTTGGTTAGGAATGTCTTATCAGATGAAAAATTTCAAAGCTTGCTCAACTACTCGGCCAACTTTCGAACATAGTTGCACAATCATGTTGAACAACTTAATTATTTCGTGCCAAAGTGATATGCCACATCACCCTGAAATGAAATTGGATTCAAGTGCTGGATTAAGGGAATAGTCATTCCATCCAACTTATTTCAATTTTGATTCTAATTCATGTCTAAACCAAATAAATTGTGGGATTAAATCATACCTATTTTTGATTGTAAGGCTCAGTTTGGAAAGAGTATAAATGTAAATATGTAGAGTGTAAAATCTTATATTTTGTATTATTTTTTATATATTTGTATTGTACATATTTACATTTATACTCTTTCTAAATTGAGCCTAAAAGATTTTGACTATAATTCCAATTTTAGTTCCAATTGTAAATCAAATGAACAATATTATGAGACGGATAAAAATTAAGAGCCTTTTCGTTTCTTCTTAACTCTTATCTTGTAAGAGGAATCAATAGTTGTTCCTTTCCTCTTATCTCTTATCTCTTAAAGTGTAATCATACAACTTTTTATTTTCTAATGATATTTCTAAAAAAACAAAAAAAAACTCTCGTACATGGGGGGTTAAAATGGATATTTGATCATTTTTAGAATTCAATAACGTTCTCTGCATTCAGAGTTCAGAGAAAAAAAAAAATTAAAAAATTTACCAATACTAATATACCTCTTAATGTAATTATTACAATTTAAAATATCAAATTTTAGAACAAATGAATAAATCCTAAGAATTCATTTGATTCAATAACAGGTTTGAAAAGCCTTAACCCATTTTCTTTCACATTTCCGGTCGTTAAAAGTTAGAACGCTCACTCGACTCGACTAGTCCTAATAGTGTAAGGGGGTTTTAGATTTTTAATAATAGTATTACTCAGTTTAGAGAGTAGATTTTAGTAAATATATATGAAAGATAAGGGTGTCTAAGTAAATAATCCTAAAATATACGAAAGGGTAGTTTAAGAAAATAGAAAAAGGCGGGGACCCACAAACGATAAGCGACAGCTGTATGGCACCTCATGGCAGACACTCTGTCAATGTCAACAACCCCGATTGGAGTGAGCTGCTGTGAGAGAGAGAGAGGTGGTTCACGGTCACCTCGGGCAAGTTGCCCGCAAAAGGCAAAACCCTCCAATATAAATGCCCATTGCCCTCTCCCTGCAAACCCCAATCTCTCTGCCTCTACAATTCCTCTCGACACATTATTCACTGTTCGAGGAATCGTAGAGCCTCTTCTTCTCTTTCCTCCCGCCTACCTTATCGTTCTTCGGTACCGAAAGAGAAAAATGGAGGCATTGAAGATGAGAGTTTTGGTCGCCGCAGTGCTCATGATCATGGCCACCTCGGCCGTCCAAACTGTGTCAGCTGCTGACGCTCCTGCTCCAAGCCCCACCTCGGATGCCTCCGTCTTCGCCCCCACCGTTCTCGCTTCTTTAATGGCTCTCGCCGTCGGCTTGCTCCATTAATTCCCCCCCCCCTCTTCCACTCTCTCCTTTGTTGCAGATCCAGGATGGATGGATGGATGGATTTCACTCTCATTCTCCTATTATTCTCGCTTGCTCTCAATGGTTAGGGCTAGGGATCTGCATCTCCATCTGGAGAGGACTGGAGGAGCATGGAGCTTGAGCATTCTTTCTTGATCTTGACCATCCTTTTCTTCTTCTTTTTTATTATTATTGTTATTATTGTTATTTATTTATTAATTAATTATACCGGATTTGTTTGCGTGTGTGTGCTTGATGTATCCTCTATCCTGTTGTATATGTAATTTTTTCAGTGGTTTAGCACAATAAAGTGTGATTAAAAAGAAGGAATGAGAGAAAGAGAGAGAGAGACCAAGCGAGCGAGAGAGAGAGAGAGAGAGAGAGAGAAAGAGAGGATGCTTTCTTGTATCACAAACAAGTGGTGTTAACGATTGATTGATAGATTAATCTCCACTTGTATTATCATCTTTCTTTTGATCCCATTTGTAGAAATAAAATTTCCATTTTCTTTTCAAGTTATATTGTATCGTTTCAAATCTGATCTTCGTGGCGGATGCCCATTCACTCACATCTTCGGTTCGTTCCCATTTGGGTGAAGCAACGCGCTTTGTATTTTTTGTCGTGGTGTATTACAGTGAGAATTTGAGAGGGATGGGCTATCTCATGACATTGGCCTCTTTGGTTGGCCTCTCATGGTCTGCATCTTTGATTGATGAGGCATGGCTGAAGAACCCACGTTCGTTTGAAATTCGAACGGTGATGGACGGATGGGTTTGTCATCTCCTCTGGGACTGGACTGCCGTGCCATGAGGGCATGAGCTGTGTTTGCTTTGGCATTTTTGGGAATCTGTTCAATAAAAGGCATCTATCTCGCCATTATTGAAATTTGAAAGACAAATGAAAAGAAAAGGTCATCAGCCAGCCAACCCAAATGTGTATAATTGACAGGCGACAGTACAGAATAGGGACCCACGACGTGCTCGACGAAAGGCCCCAAATACAATACAATACAATACAATACAATACAATACAATACAATACAGCCTCTGAGCCACTCATTCTATCTGGTCTTGCTGTCGTCAATTCAATGGCTGGATGGGTTGGGCTTGAAAAACTTTAGCTGTTGGGGGCCCAGAATTTCTGAAAATGCTACGTTACTATGAGAATGAATAAATTAATAATTATATCTTAATTTATTTTGACTAAAAATCAAAGCAGGGGCGTCAACGGGTGAACTGCACAGAACGTGTCCAGCCTAAAATCTGTCTCAACAGCCTGTTGGGCCCCAACAGCCGAAGTTAACCCGGTTGGATTGGGGTGCTTGCTTTTTCCAGCAATTATTAGAAAGAGGATGTATCAACTTCTTTAGGTTATGAGCCTACGAGGAGGATGTATCAACTCTTCAGGCTTAAGCGGCCTTGACGACAGCTTTAGAAAACACAGTTGCGATATTTCTTTGAAGAGTTGGTTCACAATCACTCGCTACTGCTATCAATAAGCGGAATTGACGATGGAGATATGTATGATGTGGCATACCCAAAAGTTTTTTGGAGGGGGGGGGGGACACGCATGGCTGTCTCGTCGTTCTCGTTAATGAGGATTTGGAAAGGATGCGGATGCACATGGGGACTCTGATTCTGAAAAGTATCGTCTTTACTAGTACTAGTACTCTCCAGGCAGGGTAGTTGAGCGACGTACGTTTGTCCATATGTGAGTGCTCTGTAAAAGATGCGAAAGGCTGGGTCATGGGTGGGCCTAGTCATTAGTGAAACGCACGTTACCTTGTCTGCTTCCTTTTGGTATTTTATCATTCTTTCAATCAAAGACACAAGCTGCCGCCAATGAATGTCAAAAAGTTATGATTCTGTACAGCTCATGAGGTCTAATTATGGTGGTAAGACACTAAAGACTCTTCAAGTAGGTCCGGTATTTTGTGGGTAGTATGCCCAGTCAAATGTAAACTCACTTCAGTGGACTGGATTTAATCAGGAAAGTTTAATAGTTGGTCGGTCCTATATAGGCCCTAGCAAGCATGTGAATGACATTGATTAAGGGTCTTCTACAACAAAAGTTCACAGTATTGACTGACTCACATCTGATCTCACATGAGAGAGAACACCAAAATCTGACTGGCATCAAACTGTGTTGAAAGTCCCATGCCAAGGCGTTGCCGCTGCCATCAACGATTGCTTAGATGTTAATAGAACCCTCGGAGGATTAAGGTGGAAATGGATTGCCGAATCTGATATGCTCCGCTTATTTCCTTTAACGATACAATAAAATTATGATTCTAACATTTGTTTTCATTTCATTTCTTAGTTTTTTTTGGCTAATTTTATTTCTAGCAATTAAATTACATAAAATATGCTACGCTTTAATTAGAAATAAAAACTAACATCATCTTTCATATTGGAGGGTTCTTCATTTCATTATTCCATACATTTAAATACAATTTTATATTAAAGTTTTATTTTTTTTAAGTCCAAAAATATAAAAACTATACATTAAAACTCGTGGAAATGGGTAACAGATAAATATCTTCCATATTAAGTTCACTTTATTTTCTGGGGTATCAGTTCCCTTGTAAAAATTATTGATTATAATCTGCTTTATTCAATTGTGCACACAATAATTTGCAATAAGCTCAACATTTGTATATAATACATTACATTATACATTATTAATTTTAAATACATATTAGTTTAAAACAATCATCTCTGCATAAACAATAATATTTTTCTATAAATTAACCATATATTTATATGAATTTATAGGACACTGTTCGTGTATAATTTGTCTTATGTGCTGATCACAACCATCTACAGCACCTGTACAAAGTAACATATTATTATTACAATTAGATACTAAAGCCATGGGTAGACCAAAAAGAACAAGCATCAGAAATGTTTTAAGGGCTCATAATTTAACTATATGGACGTTTTTTTTTTTATCAAATCATGGATATGGAGTATCTAGTAGTTATATCGCACATGGTGGAGAACCTCATGAACCCTAGGCCCAACGTGTTGTCCTGTAACCGAGCAGAAAAGAAAAAGTCAGATGATTTGAAATTACTGAGAAGACCTAAATTTGGAAGCATTAAACTTACACATACAAATTGCATGTTACAATTAGTACAGAAGATGTACATCAATGCAGGCCTAATAGGCATGTCCTGCATTTCTCTCATTTTGTGCTCATCTTCATGGCTGGCATTGCTAAGTCAGCATGTATCAACAGGAACGCAAGATATCATGTAATTCACAGCAAAGCCAGTAAGAAGAAGCAAGTTAACTGTGTAACTACCAATTTTCTGCCTACTTTTCTACACTTGTAAGGTTTCACGCTGCTGAGTGAGCTCCTTGTCAGCATAATGGAGTAGCCTTCTTAGCCTTAAAAGCATGTCACAGTGAAAGGGCAATGCAGTGCGTCTTTCCAAGTATGCTGGGCTCACTGTCATCCAAGATAGAGAATGGAGCTCTGCTGCAACAGACTCGAGAATCAAATGAGTCTCTAATTCACCATCTTTATTATCAATAGTTCTGGCCTGTGTTCCACTCCCTCTTACAATCTTCTGGGTAATGTTGCTGGTTCCATAGTAGTCAACAAGACTGACTGAAAGGACTGAAGGCCATTCTTCTTTGGCATTGCTCCTGGAGTCCTTTCTTATGGAGGAAGCTGCTTTTGACACCACAAACCCAGTACGTAGAGGAATAGCAGATCCCTTGCTATGTAAGAGATGGGCAAGAGGTGGGGATTCAGCAGTTAGGCATGTAGGAAGCTGCAATGGCATTGGAAGGAGGAAGCGCATACTGGGTGATGGGGTAATAATGTAGGATGCAGATACAGAACCAACAGACTTAATGGAGCTGAAACCTTCCAGATAGACAGATGGGGCATTTCCACTGCCTCCTTGGGTTCCTCCCCCTGCAGAATTTTTGTTATTAATACCACACATTAATATTCAACAATGCACTGTGCTAAAAACCTGTCAGAACTGTAATATGCTTTCCATGATGTTTTTTGATCCAGAATTACTACAGCTACAGAGTGGGTGAAATCTCCAAAATCAGCCAAATGGGATTACATCATTACAATTTCTAATTATCCACCAAAGATTTTCTTTAATGGTAAAGCCACAACCCATCCACTAATTTTTTCCCCTGATGAATGGTTAGCCAATTAATAGAGAACAATGGAGTAGCATCTGGATGATGGCAACCCATACAAAGGTTGAAAGATGCATAGGCATTAAGCAGACAAAAAAAAAAAAAACAGTACCCAAATATATAATTTAAATAACCATCATGGCCTAATAAAAAAGTCTGATTCGGTGCATTTACTACATCTAAGATAAATCATTTACCATGAAAAAAGTTGGAATTCTAGCTTTATATGCCTACAGATAGAGAAGATAGGTAGATGAGAAGGATTATTTCTGCTACCTAGAAAAAATATACATGAAAAGGTGGAGTTCGTTATGGACATAAATGTCTAGTTAAGCATTTATCTGCAAACGGAAGGATTCAAGGTCAAAACATGAACGTGGGACAACTTACCAGGGAAGGGTGCATCAGGTTGAAAGGCTAGTTGAAGGGAGTGGTCAACGCAAACTCCAATTAAACTGATACTCTGCACCCACTGAAAGAGCCCCCTTGAGCTGTCAACTGTTGTTTGCCCACCCATAAGCTGCTTTCTTGTACTGTTTTGAACTATGCCACCTTTAATAAAGCCAGAAGATTTTGTATGAGGGCTATACAAAGAAGGGCTTGGAGAGGAAGGTAAGGCTCTCTCTTGAATCAAACCCATCTCCTGTTGCTGCAACGTAGTCCCATTACTGCTCCCAGGAATTCCATCAGATACAGATCCTCGTAGTTGTAGCCACTTTTTTACTTCATTTCCACCAACTGTGTAAATGGCTTTCTGCCATTCTGTTTATAATATCAAATGGTTTTATTCAGAAGCATTAACAGAAGAGTGTTAGTAGGCAAGTACTTGAACAACCCATAACACATAAATACAAATTGAAACGTGTAGCACACACACACACGAGAAACATGCACATAAGAAAATAAACAACTTGTAATACCTTGGCATTCAAGCTCATAGAAACATCCAATTCGAGTTATCACAATATCTCGGGTCTTTGCAGGAGCTATCTCAGGGGGAGAACAAGATAGTATCTGGCAACCTTGTTGCAGAACTTGAACAAAAAGGCATTGTAATCCCTTTGTGTCCTGTCTACTGCTAATGCCACCAAAAGGGAATATATGGTTATCAAGCAACTCTCCTCTTGAATCAGTCCAGATGCTAATTAGCCAACGCCAGTCCTCAGTCCATCCATAACAGCAATGAAGGCTTGGTGCCTTTTGATAGCTAGACCCAAGAACACCAAGATCTGATCCATCAAGCAGAGAGCCTGGTCCAATATCAGCACTTCCCAATGAACTTGTGTTTTGCATAAAGCTACCACCACCATTATCATCAGCAGGCCTTGAGGATTCTAAGGCCACACTACCAGACATTGTTGGTGAAATTCCATGCTCTACAGAGCCAGGTTCAGCAAGGATAAATAGAGGTTCAAACAAGTATCGAGTATCATCCTGAAGAAGAATATCCCCAGATCTGTTTGGGTCACAGTTTATTCCACCAGTCCTTGATGTTTGCCAAGAATTATCCCAAGTACCAGGCCTTAACCCAGAATCGAGTTCATTATCTCTTGAAAGGGATGGTCCTGTAATTCGAGTAACAGAGTCCTTCCACATCCCGGGAACAGGAGAAGCAATATGCATCAATGTTGACTGGGGTCTACCAGAGATGCCCAATGACTGTCCTAGATCACTACATGATACCCGAGATATCCGGCGAGCCTTGTTGTAAACGGTGAATGCAATCTCCTTAAGAAGGACAAGCTCATGAAGGGCTGGACTAGTAACCCTGAAAATGGCATCAACAGTAATAATCTGCAGAACCAATTTAGGAATACTGAACCCTGAAATTGTTGGAACATTTGATGTCGATGCTTCATCCACAGCTGTTGAACAACTTAGAGCCTTCCCAACCTGAGTGTGCAGCATTGATCTCCTCTCTTTATCTGATGCGTGAATGATTGATCCAATGGCAGCAGAAGACTCAACCACAGTCTGTAGAACTGCAATAGGTTCAGGGTAGGGGCACACCACATAGATTACCTGATTTAATCAAGAAGATATGAGATTGGTGGGATAATAAACTACTAGAGTTTTTATTCAAAGTCCAAACACAAGACTGCTGAAAGAGATGCCACGCTCAAGCAGAATAAGAGCAAGAAATGAAATGGTGCAGACTGCAAAAGGAATACCCAAAATTTCTATTGATGATGGTTCATGAACATATACTATTCTGACTTGAAGAGGTAGAGAAGACCAACATAATAAAATTCAATAGGGACGCTTTGGAAAGGAATTAAAGCATTTGAATTTTAAATAATTAGGATTCTCCTGGGTCAACAAATTTATCTAACTTCTTTTAGGACTCGAGGATTAATCCATATTAACCATTATTCAAGAATCTAGTACATAACTAAAGCTGATTTGGAAAGTCCAGTATCTGTTCTTAATTGAGAAATTCAAACAGAAACTGATTAGTACTTGGACTTGATGAAGATCACACCACCAGAGGGAATCTGAGAGTCAGTAGAATGGTACCAAAGCACACAAATAAAAATTATGATTTCTATTACAAAGATAAAATTGGTTTTCTAAAGCCCCAAAGCTTCGTGAACTCTTAGAAAAACACCAAGACTCTAAAGAATTCAACTTAGCCTTAATCCCAATTATTTGTGGTCAACTACACAGAGCCTATCCACCATTCAAGAACCATGCTTTCTTCCAAATTATGTGTCCTTAAATCATTTGTTACTATTTCAGACCACATTTTCTTTGGTCTTACCATTGTTCTTGCACAAAGTCACTCCTCACTGATCATCTATGCACATTACAAAACCATTTTCAGTTGATTTTCCCTCATCTTGTCACTAATTGGAGCTAGCCCTCAGTCCTATTGTGTTCATTTCTGATTCCATCCTTTCTAGTCTTTCCACTCATCCATCTCAACATTCATATCTCAGCTATTTTCATTTTCTGATCAGTTGACCTTCCCTCATCTTGTCACTAATTTAAGTTACACAGAAGTCCTTTCTAATGCATTCCTTTCTGATTATGTCCTTGATAGTCTTGCCACTTCATGTTTCTTGATTGCTTAGTATTCTGATTCATATAGCAATGCTGGTCTTAAAACTGTCTTAAAGAATTTTTATCTTAATCTCATTGATATATGCTGGTCATATAGCATACCAGTTACACCTCTCCCCTTCAACCACCCTTCTCCAATCTATTTAGTTTCTTCATCATTATGTCCTTGATAGTCTTGCCACTGCATGTTTCTTGATTGCTTAGTATTCCGATTCATATAACAATGCTGGTCTTAAAACTGTCTTAAGAATTTTTCTCTTAATATCATTAATATATGCTGATCATATAGCATACCAGTTACACCTCTCCCCTTCAACCACCCTTTTCCAATCTATTTAGTTTCTTCATCATTATGGATGATTGATCCAGGATACCATAAGTAGTTATTTTGGGTATCCCTTAATCATCAACCTTAATTGTACCGCCACTGTTTTTTTTTTTTTTTTGATAAATAACATCAATTCCATTAAAATAATGAATAGATAGAAGAAGATCCCCTTAGAGGCACGAGGAGCAGCCTCTCCAAACAGCAAATACACAAACTACAACAGAGAAAACATGAATGTTGAAATTAAAACAATAGTTACAATTGTGCCCAGAACAATGTTTCCCTATTTATCCCTTGTTTTGCCAAGACATCAGCAAAAGCATTAGCTGATCTCCCAACCCTTTGTACTGTTATAGACATATTTCTTATCAGCCATTTGAATTTCTTTAACTCATTTTTGTAGCCCCAAGTGACATCCTCCGGATTATTTAACCAGTCCACCACTGTCTTAGAGTCTCCTTCAATCAGAAGCTGCTCCATACCCACTTCTTTTGCAAGAAGTATTCCTTGTATTGCAGCTAGCAGTTCTGCCCGGATAGAGTTCCCAACTCCTAAAGGGCCAGAGTAGATTAAGACAACCTCTCCAGCCTCATTCCTCAGTACACCTCCCATCCCAGAGGGACCCAGGTTACCCTGGCTACTCCCATCAAAATTCAGCTTCAAAGAACCAAGAGGAGGGGGGACCCAGCTAGTCACTGCCCTTCCCTTGTAGGAGGAACAGCTTGCTACCAACTTCCAATCTTTCCAACAATCAGCAAAAGTAAAATGGTTAAATAATTCTAGAGTCTTTAGCCAATGTAAAGACCTGGACAAAATGCAGTCCTTTAAGGTTTGACTGCTTCTTTTCCTTTTTCTTGGAAGATTCTGGCATTCCTTTCTTCCCATACTGGCATTGTACCGCCACTGTTACTAATATTTTCAACTAAAACAGAAATGCATTTAATCAAAACACAGAGCTTTATCTCTCTTACAAGGGCTGACACTAGAAGCAGCTGGAAATGAAACAGGTGGAGGTCGAAGGAATGAAGGAGACTCAAAGCTAGTTATAGCATGGATGAGTTGCAATAATCTGGGTGCCTGAATGTATAGGCAAACTGTTAGGGAGATAAGAAGCTTGGCATTAGAAGTGGAAGCTGCATTCAGATGGGTGACAACTGAGAGGAATGGCAATATTGATAAAAAAAACAGAGAAGAATGGCAAATGGGTCGGCTGATTCCTAGCAAAACAACGGGTTTATAGGAAGCAATTTTTCTGGGCAGGATTGTAATGGATTCTATACAAAAGAATGGGATAGAGATTAGGTCCAAGACCTCTATGTAATGGTTTAAAACTCTTTTAATGAAAGTAAATTTCTGTTGCTGATAAAATAAGAAATACATTTAATCTGCCATAGTCTAACATATACTTGAAATATTCATTCTAGATCATCTATCCCTTGTTTAAGCTTTGTATTCACCAATCTTTAACCTTATGAATCAATACCCTATCACAAGCAAATTACATACACCAGGGAACCCTTTGTAGTCTTGTAAAAGTTTAGTCGGTTCATCCATAACTTAAGGCAAAAATATATGAACTAAGTACTGATCCTCACTGTTGTAATTAGAAATCCTCTTACTCTCCTCTTCCTGCATTCTCACACTGAACCCTTGATGATATTATAAACCTAATTGAAGCCCCTTTCTTTTGCAAAGCTCACCTAATCACTTCTCTAGGGATCTCACAAAGGCCATTACCCAATGTTGGTCCCAGCTATACGCAAATCTAGGAGAGGTAAAGCTGGAGCCTGGATCACCTGAAAGCAAAAATCATACAAATACCCTGAGAGCATGATATCCTGCCGCACATCGGGAGTATCTACCCATGAATTTAGCGAGATTGCATTTCATCCTCACAACAACTGCATCCCTGCATTGGGAACATCTCCGTACTTGCATGTTTTCATTCATGGGAAGATGTTTCCAATTCACGGCTTAAGTGTTGTGAGGACAAAATCCAAATTTGAATTTAGCATACTAGTATGGGAGATATTCCCAATGTGTAGTAGGATGCCATGCTCTCTCAGGATGTTTGCACGATTTTTTTATTTCAGGAAATCTCACCTAGTAAAACTGGATATGGACCTAACCTTTTTGCATTTTTTAGCACATAGTGGACACTCACAGACTTGAAGCCACGTTCTCATGTTTGTCAGCCCAAGATTTTATCAGTATACCATGCAATGGTTCCTTTTCTAGGGAATTTATAAATATACTTTTTCTAAGTCAGGAAATACCAAGTGGATAACTTCAGGAAGAGTGACTTGGAATAACTTCAAGCAAAAACCCATAACGAACTCAATATATTTAGACTGGTCTGAACAGACCTCACCACCACAGCTTACCCACCATGGCTGTCTCATTAGTCATTAACCCTTAATGAGCCCGTCATAGTTTATCCGCATCCCAAGAAAACCTTGGAATGTTTATCTATTCACTGTCCAGACTATCTTGGCAGTTTTGGTGCACAATTATCAAGGCACCTAAGCAACATTTTCTTTTCTTTTCTTTTTTTTCTTTTGGGATGGGGGGTGCTTTGCCTTGGTGTTTCTATGTGGAGTTGTACCAATTTTGAAGTGTAGCACACCATCTCATACCAGATAAATAAGATAACAAGAGGTTAAGAGACAATATGAATATTTTCAATTCAAAGAAAAGTTGAATGGATTTCAGGCAAGAAAATCTCACTATCATTCATTAGTCCTTACCAGAAACTGAGCAAACAAGAACTAAACAACCACATCGAAGTGCAGCAGGAAAACTAGCAAGACAACAATAGGAGAGTGATGTAGGACCAGCACAGTTCTAGTCCTTAGAGAATGTTGAATGTTCTTTTTTTTTTTTTTTGATGAATAAGGATAGTTTTATTACTTCAAAAGAAAAAGATCTCATACAGCAGCCCGTGGAGAGGCACAAGCTGCAGCCTCTCTAAACTGATTACAAAGAAACTTCCCTATTTGTCCCTTGCTTAGCTAAGCCATTAGCCAAAGCATTTGCTGATCTCCCTACCCATTATATACTAACAGATATATTCCTTGTCAGCCACTTAAATTTTTTGACTTGATTTCTATAGCACCATATAGTTTCCTCAGGGTTCTGCAACCACCCCACCACCACCTTGGAGTCCCCTTCTATAACAAGCTGTCCTACTCCTAACTGATTTGCGAGTTCCACTCCTTGTATGGCTGCTAATAGTTCTCTGACTGAATCCCCAAATCCCAAAGGACCTGAATAAAGCAGTATAATATCTCCAGCCTCATTTCTCAAGACCCCTCCCACTCCAGAGAGCCCTGGATTGCCCCGACTACTCCCTTCAAAATTCAGTTTCCTTGAACCTTCAGGCGGTGGAGTCCATCTTGTAGATGCCTTAGTCTTCCCAGAAGAGCACCTTGCCACTGCTAGCCAATGTTGAATGGTCTTCTTTGATCAGAATTTTATGGCTGCAGATGGCTGTAATGGCTTCTTGAAGGAACAAGAGAGAAAATAGGGAGAGAAAGAAGAGAGAAAATACCTGGAATCACTGACAGGGTGCCTAGAATCACTCTAGGGCATGGGAATTGCTCACCATAGTTAGCATAAGCTGAAGAAAACT